CTGATCACGACACTTTACATCGGGTTCCTAGGTCTTATTTTCAGCAGTTACTTTGTGTATCTTGCCGAAAAGGATGCTGTTGGGCCCGATGGCAAGACAGACTTTTCCAGTTACGCCGATGCACTTTGGTGGGGTGTGGTAAGTTTTTCTTTTTTTTTAAAACAAAATTAAAATCAAAAAAAAAAAAAAAAAAAATCTAATCGCGTGTTGTCGTCGTCCTCCCCATCTCCCACCCTCAGTTTTACGATTTAAATATTTAATATCAATAAAAATGTTGTATCATAGAGAAAACAATGTGATAAGTGTGCGCGTGTTTTTGATTGACCCTTTTTTTTTTTTTTATCTAACTAACTAACAACAATAAGTTTTTTATAATTCTAATCGAGCTCCGTTGTTTTTTTTTTTTTTCTCTCTCCGGTTTATTTTTTTTTTTTTCCCCCTATCGTAATTCAAATCGAATTAACTGCACGATACGCGAAAAGACACGATCGATGTATGTTACATATATTTTCGCATGTGTATATAAATAATATGTGTGTGCGCGTGTATGTGTGTGTATTTGTATTTAAGGGAAGAGAAAGGAACGTGTCTCTCTCTTTTTCTCTCTCTTTCTCTCTCTGTCTCTCTTTCTGTTCATAGTCACGTCAGCACGCATTAAAACGAAACAAGCAAAATCCCTTTATATCGTGCTACCCCCAAAAGCTACCATGTTACGCTCGGAATTGTGTCGAACACATTCTGCTTACCAATTAATCCTCGCTTCGTTGATTATCCAAACGAATCCCGTATGACGTTAATGTTTTTGATCGATTATTTCCAAAATAATTGGATGATCGACCAAAATAATAATAATAATAATAATAATAATAATAATAATAATAATGGCAATGTGTTAATGATGAAAATATGATAACGATATCGGAATACAAAAAAATTAGAAATTAATTCTATAAATAAAATTCGAATATATCGGTATCAACATTTTGTATTAATATTAGTTTTTTATTTTATTAAATTTCTTTAATATTTGTTTTTTTAATTATTATTAATAATAATAGTAATAATGGCAATGTGTTAACGATGAAAATATGATAACGATATCTGAATACAAAAAAAATAGAAAATTATCCATTAAATAAAATTCGAATATATCGGTATTAACATTTCGTGCTAATATTAGTTTCTTATTTTATTAAATTTCTTTAATATTTGTTTTTCTTATTATTAATAATAATGACAATGATAATGATGGAAATATGATAAT